GAAAGGGTTGTAGTTGATGGCTGGGCTGAGAAAAACTCTAGGGGCAATACCCACCTCCTCCCTGGTCCATTCCGGATTTGCAGGATGATATTGCCCTCTGCTGGTCAAACTGAGACTGTCAGACACCAGCTCTCCAGAGGGGCTCTTCCCTATTTGTGCCTCCCTATCTCGTCCTTGGTTTTTCTGTCTGGGTTCCCTCCACTCCATACTCTCACATCTTAACCTCCTTCTTTGTAACTTAATTCCCAGATCACATCTTTTTACCTGGACACTTGGATGCTGAATATCTTAGTAGTTTGAAGATGGTCCTTGCACATTCTAAATCATGAAGTATGAGTATGGAGTACCTTCCTTCACTCTTTCCTGACCTTTGTGCCTTCATGCCCCATTCATTATCTCAGGTTGTGGGGTCCTGTCTACAGGAGTAGGGTACATCACAAAGGCTGGCTAGAATGGGAAATGGAGGGGCAAGTTGCAAGCAACAACACAGAGATGAGGTCACAGCCACACACACCAGAAATGCTATGTCTTTCCATGCATTATCTGCATTTGCACAGGTTACCCCTAGAATCTGTATCGTTCACACCAGTTAACCTACAGTCATTAAGTATCTGCCCATTAGTATAGGTATTTACCCTGAGTCATATTCAGAAAATTTCCTTGTCTTGCCTGGTAGAAGCAATCACCCTGAACACTCTATTGGGCCTACGTTATAGGCAGTCTTGGGTCCTGAGGGCAAGGAGGAGCAGTTCAGCAGCTGGACTGCTGTCTTAGTTGAAGAGTTAACCTAGAAAGGCCACCAGGGTTAAGATGCGTGAATACCAGTGAAGGCATAGAGGCAAAGAAGAACCTGAAGGAACTGAAAGGGCACCAGTATCTATAGACTATTCTGAGAGCTTTACACAAAGTATAATGGGATGAGGACAGTAGAGGCCTTGGCCCATCACCTCGCCAGATATTTACCAGACTCAATGCTAGTTAGTACTAAGAAAAAAGAAGACCCATTACTGCTTTCTGCACTGGAACCTGCCTATGTTGGTCATCCTCACATGGCTGACATCCATCATGCCTTGGCACTCAACATATACGCATACTTGGCACAGACCCATACAGACACACAAAAATAAATCTTTTGAAATATCAGAATCCAAATAAATAATGCACCTTAAGATTAGGCCAAACCTAAAAGCAGCAGGCAGAAATGAAATAATAAACGAAACACTGAGATTTGCACTGGTGAGGAAAAACCAAGGGGACCCTGCAATCTAACTGTTGGCCTGTACTTTTAGATTCTACCCAGCAGTAACCTATTCTGGAGAAAAGAGGCTCCCGTAGAAACTGAATGCTCTTCTGGACCTGGGCTACCCTGTCCTGACAAGCAGCAAACCACAGGTAGCAAGGAGGTATCTCACGTGTTCTGATTTTGCAACCACACTCTTCTGCAGGCTGCTGGCTCATCTGCTTCTCAAGTAGGGTTTTGGAATACCTTTTCCTAATTTATCAATATAGCAAAGTGCATTAGTGGGGAGGCAGCCTTAATAGACCACAGAGAAAGACAATGCAGCCAGTCCAGATGAGACCTGATAGGCTAGGGTCTGATGGAAGGGGAGGAGGACCTCCCCTATGAGTAGACTGAGGGAGGGGCAGGAGAGAAGAGGGAGGGAGGGTAGGATTGGGAGGGGCTAGAGCTGGGATACAAAATGAACAAATTGTAATAAATTTTAAAAATTGCTGGGGAAAGGGTATCCTGACACACAGGAGCCTAAGGGGCGGGGGCACAGAGAACTCAAAAGGACTGAAATGTCTTATAGACATGGCATAGTAGTGACTCTCAGAAATTCACAGCAGCTGAGATTGCCTGCAGAGGGTCTGTATAAGGCTGGGCCCCTGAGCATTCAGTTATGGATGGAGGAGGGGCTCATATAGCCCAGCCTTGTCCAGGAGAGCTAATGAAATCAATGGCTGAGGAAGAGGAAACCTTTGTCCTTAGTGGTGTGGACACTGGTGAGTTACTTAAGCACTAGTGGTTAGCTTTACGCTTATGCCCATGAAGGTGACCCTAGTTAAGCTCAGTGGTTCAAGAAGTAAAGACAAAAGAAACAGACAGACATAAAAATGGAATGAGTACTTTGTGGTAATAGGGGAACTGTGTGAGAAGGAAGATGAGGGTGGAGGGATAAGTATGATCCCTCATACTCATATATAATAAAAGGTCATTATATACATATATAGAACTTCCAATGATTCTTTTTTAAAGTAAAAAAAAAAAAAGTAAATTCAAAACAAAACCAACATAAAAATAACTTTAAAATCTAGGAGCATGAGAGATAGCTTTGCAGTCAAAAGCCCTTACTATAGTGTGGACACACAGAGGCCCACCTGCCATGGCCCAGGCAGGTGGAAGACACACACAGACCTGCCTATCACCACACAATGAGGTGCAGGAGGGGAAAGAAGTCCAGAAACCTTCCTGTCACCATGCTATGTGGGCAGGCTGTAGATACCTAGAGGCCCGCTTACTCATGGGCAGAGAGGTTATCCGGAGGCCCAAGAGCCACACGGCCTGCCCACAGCAGGAGCCACTACCATGTGCAAGTATGTGGTAGACAGATAGGAGAGAAAAAGAAGTGGTATAGTTTGAGTATTGTGAAGAGAGATGGCACTAGAGATGCAAAGGTGGAGAGGAATAGCCTGTTCTGAGTAGGCAGCCCATCACCCGAGACCAAGGTGAAGTTCCAGTCTGTGTTGTTGTCACTGAGGACCAAGTCTCGGTCCCTGACCATACAATGGCAGGAGTTGGTGTTGATGTCCATGGCTGATATTACCACTAGAGACTATGTGAACCTCCCTGGTCTGCGTAGCTGCCTAGGACCACGTAGATGTCCAAGGGCCATGTAGAACCAGCCCCACCCCTCACTGGCTATAGCACTCTGGAGAGCCGACCCTAGTGGTGTGGTGAGCCAGCACTGAGGGTGAGCATGAGAGAGCTGGACCTGTCAGTGGTATGCTGTGAAGTGGCTTAGGCGTGAGGGTGATGGCCTCTACCCCCTTGCCACCTGGGACCTGGCTCCAAGGCAACAAGAGTGGGAGAGCTGGCCCTGCACCTCATCGGGCAGCACAGTAGAGCTGGACCTGGTGGTGAGGGTACCACCACCATTTGAGGCAGCCCTGAAGGTGTGATGTGAGGTGGCCTGGGCACAGAGGTAATGCCCTCCCCTCACCACCTGTGGTAGTCAGGAGAGCTGGCCCCAAGGTAATAAAAGCAGGAGAGCGGACCCTGTCCCTTATGGGCTGCAACACTTGGGCAAGTGGGCCCTCCATCTCACTAGGCAACACAGTGAAATACTCAGGGAGGCTGAACAACTCAACTATCATCCGGGCCCAGATCCAGGGCTTTGAGTTGGCCCACCTCAAAATCTACCTCAACTTTGAACTGTCGGAGAGCATGAAAGGGTCAGTCTTGCTGATCCAAAGCTGCAGGATCTATGACACAGGGTAACAGGATAACCAAAAGGAGTCCTGGTGAGGAACCAGTACTGACGGTGTAGCAGAAGCTAGGGGCCTTGAACCAGACCAATGACTCATTGCAATAAACATTTACAAGTGAAGATATATGGACAAAAGGGTAATCTGTGGGACACGCTGCAGTTTATACAAAGAGAGACTTTCTATGCTTTGTTTTACTTTTTTGTTTTTTATTTTCTTTTGGGGGGAGGTTGCAAGGGCAGAGGGCAGATACAAAGAAACAGGGATATAAGTGGGACTTGGATGCATGGTGTGAAACTCACAGACTCAATAAAAAGTTAAAAACAAACAAACAACAATAAAAACAACAACAAAACCCTTACTAGGTAGTGAAGAAAATCAGAGTCCAGATCCTACTATCCACATAAGAAACTTGACATGATTATAACACCAGCTGTGAGACAGGAAGATTTCTGGGATTTTCAGCCAACCTAAGCAAGCCTCAGGTTTACGGAAAAAGTCTTCCTTAAAAAATAGGTGGAAAGGGATCGAGGAGGAGGATACTGATGTTTCCTTCTGGCTACCGTGCCTATGTACAGGCATGTACACCCATATACGTGTGCATATCTTACAGACATGCATGCAAATAAATAAACCATTAAAAAAATCTAGGAAGCTAGATATGATGGCACATGCCTTTAATCCCAGCATTCAGGAGATAGATCTGTTAGAGGCCAGCCTGGTCTACATTCTGAGTTGTAGGCCAACCAAACCTACACAGTGAGAGCCTGTCTCAAAAACCAAAACCTAGAAATAAAAGTCCGGGGAAACCCTGCTTTGGTTTATTTTTGTTATTATTTTGTTTGTTTGTTTTCCCCATTGATTTCCTAGTACTTTGTGAAAAGTTTTGAATATATATTCATGAGAATGGCTGATGTTTTTCTAATGTCTGTTTTTGTGTCAAGAGTATGCTGTTCTCTTTTGAGCTGACAACTTTCTTTTTCAAGAATTTGTGTAGAATTCTTGTTAACTTTTTTTTTCTTTTCAGTTTCTTAGAGATAACTTCTAAGGTAAGAAAATGGTTTAGAAGCTTCTTCTGTAAGTCCATGAATGAGAATAGTCAGGGCAAAAACGATAAATTTATTCCAAGCAGAGGAATACAGGGAATCATGGAATCATGAAACAGAGTAAGTCAGCTGAAAACTCAGAAGCACAGATTGATAGAAAGGATGCATAGAGAGAAGCAGGAAGTGGTCCACTGCTTTAGTCATAGTTCTAGCCCTAGCTTCCGAGAGGAAAGTGAAGCCAAAGCACCCATGGGAGCCCCAGGAAACAAAGAGGAGGGTAAAGTTGAGTAGTAAGGCAGTAGCCATGGCCTGCAGTGTCTCAGGGGTACTGCTCCCAAATAGGACTGGCAGAGTGAGTATGTTCCTGTCAATGACTGTATTGTGAGATCCTTGGAACATAACAATTTAATGTTGTGTGAATACACCAATCATTATTAGTAAAATTCAGCATTTGAAGTAGACATTGGAATAAAAATAAAAGTATTCTGAAAACAAGTTTAATATTAAAAAAGTTCTATGAAAAAACAGCACTCCTTTTAAAAGTAGCTTCATGTACAAAGCATTAATGCCAAGATGACATAAAACATGATATTCTGTGAGGTATAACACTTATTAACTTATATTTGGCAACATGCATTTTCACTTGAAATATGAGTAACATTAGTGGAGAAACAAGACACACATTGCCTACTTCACTTGGCTGTAGAAAGCATGCTTTGTTCCTGTGAACATGACATCTGATCACTATCAAAGAAGTCCTCACCTGCACCTGCATTCCTTTGCTCAATTTCTGTATCACAGAAACATGGCTTTCTCATCCATTACATAACATCTTGTGCTAACTGAGGCACAAGATATTATGTTGTGCTAACTGAAGCTAACTGGTCCCTTCTAGCTTGAGCGAAGGATCTATCCTTCAGTGCTGTAACTGCATTATGCCTCTTGTTCTGTGATAGCTGTTTTGAGCTCCCTTTATTTTAAACAAATTTTAACATCTTGTGTCTGACAGGCTAGAGTCAGGATGGGAATCAATATTTAGATGAGTCTTTACATAGATGCAAACAGAATTGGAACTATCTTTTTAAAACTGAAAAAGACAGGGAGTTTGCCTTTAAATATGCATTATAAAATAACACAAACACAGTCCTTCCTTCTTTTGACAAAGTTCACCATCCCATCTGTCTGCCTTGCAGACCTACATTGTTTAGAATAATCTCTAATGTGCACTGTGAGGTAGGTGTTATCACCTACTAGTTGTCCATTGAAAACCACAGATAAGGATGTCTGGGATCTAAGCTGAAAGCTTCTTTTTTTCCTCAAACTGTTTGTCCACTGCCAGAGACAGGGCCTGGAGGAAACCCTCGATGGTGACGCTGGGTGCCTGAAAAGATATATGGCCATTACTGAGTGGAGCAGGGCTTGAGTAGGGCTACCTGGCAGCTACCATCTGTACATTTGTAGAATTAGGAAGAGGCTCAGATCTATGTATAAACAAGCCCAGGACCAGATGATGTAATTTGCTATTTCCTGTTGGTTAGAAAAGGCTACCAGAGTAGGCAGGTAAGACCAGTAGTCATCCATCTGCTAAGAAGAAAGAGAAGCTATTGGGAAAAGAATGTGGGACCTTGAGGCCTGCCATTTTGGAACCTTTCCCAAAAGGCTCACCCGATGTCCTGGAACCATGAGGAGCAAGACTTGATGCTTTAGAACTGAGAATCACTGTACAGCTCAAAACCAAGCTCTCCCTTCTGTGCCAAAGCACTCATACACATGGCCCATGGGTGTTTCTTTGGTACTGAAGACCACACCTACACAGCAGCTGCCACTAGCCATGTAGAATATCAGATAATGGATTTAAGAGAACTGTGTGGCTGACAGGCTTGTGATGGGAACCTGGCCCTGGGCAGGTAAGGGAGTGACTCCAGAACACAATTGGTGTGAACAGAACCCAGGCTCATTGGTCACAAGTACTGAGGAGAATAAAGTTCCCGAACCATGGAACATGTGCCTGAGAATACTGCACATGTGTATGTGTGTACTTATGAACAGACACCTGAAGAGCCAATTCTTCCCAAGTACCCACTTGCTTATGATGGATAGTGTTGTTAACCAGACAGAGCCTAAAATCACCTGGGAGAGAGGCCTCTGGGTATGACTTTAGAGAATTATCCCAATTATATCAATTATGGCGAGCAGCTTGCCCACTGTGGTAGCATCACTACCTGGTTGGGGTCCTGGACTGTATAAATGGAAAAGGGAACGGTGCAGCACCATTTATTCACTATTCATTCTCTGCTTCTTGACTGTAGACCAGTAGCTAGCTTCAAGTTCCTGCTGCTTTGACTTCCATACCATGATAGCATGTACCCTTGAACTGAGAGCTAGAATAAACTCTTTCTTCCTTTAATTGCTTTCTAAGGAATATTTTATCACAGTAACTGGAAAAGAAACTAAGGCACTACCCCAACTCCTGTGAACAGTGTGGGTGAAGGACCTGGGTATCCAGTACACAGGGCCAAGGGAAGCTTACCTGAATGTAGAGCGCATGAGCCAGGAAAGGGAGTTTCCTCAGGACCCGGCCACTGAGGCCCTCACTCTTCCTGGTATGAAAATAATCATATTCATGGATGTCAATCTCATATACAAATGTACACAATTCAGGGATAATTTCCCTCTTTATGGTGAACCAGAGCTCAAAGCCTGGCTAAGGTAACCCAAAAGCATAGGACTCTGCGTGACCCTGGCTGCAGCTTTGGCCTCAAAGACTGTTGTTCCCTCTCCTCCTCAATACCATCTGTTATCTACTGAACGAAGTGCCCACCTGGGGGCATACGGTGTGGAGTAAGACACTGTGGCACAAAGCTGCCAGCAGAATACTCAATCAGGCTACCATGTCTTAAGTTGTTACAGACATCTGAGAACTGTGTTCCTCTTCTTCATTGATTTAAGCCTCTTCTCTAGCAACACTGCATTCTTATGCTAATCTTTCACTTAAAATCTTCCACATGCTTCATGGCTTCTTTAATAAGGTAAAAATTGGCCAGAAAGTGAGTTCACAGCAGGGACCCTCTGCCTCTCCAGCACTATCACACTGATCTGTGGGAAATAATCTATGAAGATAGCTGCCAACACATTGCCCAGCCGCTTCCTGAGCAACTATATGAATAGTCTGTTTTCTTAGGCTCTGTATCAAACTCCTACTTGCCTTTCACTCTGCCTTAATCACCAAAGTTATTTCCCTTCTCACTTTCCTTCTGTAAGTTGCAGCCTCTTTTGCAGACATGCCTACTTTTGCAGTTCCCTGACTGCTCACCTCCAGAGCCTACTTGGACCTCTAAAGAAAATCACAATACCTAGTTACCTCAGCAAATGATTTTTCTTGGATTAAAAATGACATCAGTTTGTACCTTGAAATTTCACTCAAAAGGAGGCTCAACTTTGACACATTATTTTCAACGAAGCCAATCATTTCCAGCTCTCGAAGGTTCAACAGCTGCTGACGAGGATATATAATCTGGCACTGGGGGTCAAAGGCAGAGTAGTTATAACAGAATCCATATAACACAAAGTACAAGCACCATGAGCAAAAGGGCCGGTAATTCCAGGGCTATCAGAAACTGTCATGACTTGGTATGAGTCCAAAATAATCACTCAAATATAGACACTAGAAAACAGCTCTGCACACTTTTAACATTCTTGCCTGACATACCTGTGTTTCTTCAAAGATCAGTTTGCAAATAATAAAACATGGCTCAGGAACCAGTCGCAAGCCATATGCTGGATTTCTAGCTAAGATATATCCTGGCTTCCTGTCAGGGCTAGGGGGAGTGGGTAAGGAGCAGTAATGGGTGGTATGAGCTGCTGCCTTAGTTACAGAAATATGTGTCAAACCTAGAGGAACAGAACTGGAATGCAGAGCCAAGCCCACAGCTGTCTTCAAAGGAACATTTCTCCCCTTCCCCTTTGGGCATGACTAGTTTGGCAGAGTGACAGACAAGGCAGAAGGTCCCTGACTCTCCTCACGGGCCACTTGCCTAGAAGCCAAGGTGTTCTCGAGGAGCTGCACTAAACTGCAAGGGTGGCACCGATGCGCCCACAAAACCTCCTCTGTGTACTCTGGAGGTTGGTGGCCAAAAGGAGACAGGCTTCTCTTTGGTATTCTTACCTTTCAGGTCCCCACAGCCAGGGGATTTATACAGGCAGGCACACATCACAAGAGGCAAGATTGCAAGCTCCTGATAGAGTGAGACCCAACTACATAGTGTCTGCCTTCAGGACCAGCCAAGGTTCACTATAGCACCTGCCTATCTTGTTCTTTCTTTGTATGTGCATGTGGTATGTTTGGCCAGATGCTGCTGTCTTTCTCATTAGCTCTCCACCTTATAGAATAAGGCAAGTTCTCACTTGAATCCAGGGCTCACAGATTTGAGTAGTTAGCTAGCAGGATTGCTCCAGGAATCCATCTCCTGACTCCTGGGATTATAGATGGGTGTGCCACGTTTGTGTGGGTGCTGGGAATCAGAACTCTAGTCCTCATGTTTGGGTGGCAGGCATTTTATCCAACAAACCATCTCCTCAACAAGATCTTAATTTTTAACAAAAGGAACAAAGTAAAAATCTCTAAGCTAAACTTCAGAATATTCCAGATTCATAGTGTGACAAGTGTCCCATTGTGAGGGCTGAAAGACACACCAAAAGTATCCTTGGCTCTAATATACCCAGCTTCCTCACTGGACCTACCCCATGTTAAACTCTTTGGTAGTAGTAAAGAATCTTCACAGAGGACCACTCCACACCCAGAAGCTAGACCAGGATGCCAATGCCAGAATAATGCTAACTTGAGCATGCTTATTGGGCTCCTGGCTGAGCTGGCTCCCTATTCCTGCCCCAAAGTGACCATGCCATCCTTGGCAAGGACAGCAAGGCCCAGCAAAGTAGTGACTTTATGAAGTGCCAGGCAGGATCTGTGAGGATAATTCCATTCTGCTCACTAAGGGCAACGATTCTACCATAATCATTATAAATATCTACTGTTATCTTGCTTGGTTACTGCCTAGGTTCCTTACACTCTAGACTCAAAAGTATGTATTGAAGTGGAAGTTTCTGGTTTCTTTGAAAACTCAAGTTTTGTCCCTACTAAGCAGGAAGTTGATAAAAGAGGTTTATAGCTGTTTTCCCTACTCATCTTCTATCTACTGTGGTGGGGGGAGGGGGGTGGAAGCAAAGTAAAGTAGGTTTGGTGAAAAATCTAAGCCTACAATGTTCTTGTAGCATGAGCTGTCAGATGCCGGTCTAAGAATCACAACTTTCAGTCAGTCATAGTTCTGTGAACTATGACCTGCAGTTAGTGTAATATGTGAACTGTAACTTTTAGTCAGCTGGTACTCTGAAAAGTTTGGCCTTCAGTCAATATATCCTGTGAAGAAAGACTTCCATTGTCCTTTTCATAGGCTAAGAGACTGGTAGCTTTCATAGTCCGTGGCTGGTTCAGAACTAGGAGGTGCTTCATCAACTGCCTACAGCCCTCTCACTAGCCTTCTACACATTGGTTCCTTAATACTGAAAATACTAGAATACCAGAATACCTAATACCAGAAGAACAGAAACATAATGAGCATGGTATAATGACATATATATGTCAACATATATATATATATATATATATATATATATATATACACACACACACACATGTGCTATACTAAACTATTAGTTTACAGGCTAATTTGAATTTTGTTTTTTTTTAACTCTTAAAGTAAATAAAGATTAAAAATACTGAGTTAGCAGGCATAATCTAGATGCAACATAACTATAATTTTCAATGTAAGATGCCTATGTTAAAATGCCTATTAGAACTAGTGTACATTAAGCTATGCCAATTAACTACTAACATGTAGAAATCTAGTAATGGTCAGGAGTGGAAAGAAACAAAGGCACCTTCATCAGTTCTTCTAAGCAAGAGAGGTAGATTCTGAAGATGGCTGCTGCAGAGGGGGGGCCAATGTATTGCTTGATGTCAGCTCTGTCCACAAAAGCCACATCAATCTTCTCAGTGATATTGGAAGTGGTTAGAATCACCACATTGGAATGCCTGTCATAGTGAATAGGCAAGAATCAGGTACAATGTGCTTTAAACCCTCAGTCCTATTCTGTCCCATGTGAAAGGCGCATGAGTAGGAGAAACAATAGGTCCATGAGTGAAAGAGCCTAGCTAGCTTTATTTGGGTGGTTGTGCTTTATGCCAGAGTAACCTTCCAACACAGCTTGCATATCCTGAGAGCACTGATCTCTAGTCAGGGAGTCTCCCTTGGCTTGCAGCAGGTCTATGATCAACAACACTCCCAAGGCCTCTGCTTCTAGAAAGCTGGGGTGTACTCTATTAGACTTCTCTCACCTCCTTCAGCTTTGGGGAAGATTAGTGCAACACTCCTGACCACCCCATCTATACAGCTTTAGTGAGGAACCTGTGGCAATGGAGACTATCAACTATCAGCCTTGAGCATAATGAAGGCAAATGGGACACCAGGAGAGGCGTCCTTTTGATTCCACATTACCTTTTAACTAATGAAAAGAAGACGACTGCCTTGTCTGGCAACGGGGGAGGCAAACAACATAACAGGGTACTCCAGGAAGGCAGGTGGGGGGATCTTAAGCATTATTGGGAGCTTAGGCAGGCAAGTGGGAAACCAATCAGGGGATGTTGGGAAGGAGAGTCTGTCAGTATGACAGAGATCCTGGGTAGTAGGGTAGAAAGCTGACCAGTTTAACACAGGACCTAGGCAGAAATGGTTTGGGGCTTAGTGTTCACCTTGAGTCTTAGTGTTTATATGGTTTATTATGGGAACTTGGCACCCAGAACAGGGAGTGATGCTGGAAGAAGGGCTGGTGAGGATTTCAGACAGGCTGTGAAAAGCACCTTTCTTGGAGACCCTGGCAGCAAAAGCCAAGGTAAGTGACTATAAAGTCATCAAGCTGCCTGAGAGCAATTTTAAAGCTATTTGATCATCATATTTCTCCATCACTACTCATGTGTTACCTTTTAATCTGATCAATTTGAGTCAAGACAGCATTGACCACACGAATAGCATCTGATGGCTCTGCACCTGCCCTGCAAGCATTTCGAGCAGCGGTAAGACTCTCCACCTGTGGAGAAAGAGCAACAGGTCAAAATGAAGAGTAACTGGTACTTCACAGACAGCTAAAGATAGCGTCAACTAAAACAAAACTAAACAAAACTGAATGTATTTATGTTGCTCCCTGCTCCTAGAAGCTCAATGAATGGTGTGTTAGGAAAAGATACACAGAAAAGAGCTTGCAATACAGCTGACCAAGTGAGAGAGATCAGGCAGTAGGAGCAAGAGGCAATTCAGGCAAAGACTGACTACCTCATCGATCAGCACAAACACCAGAGCTTCTTTATCATCAATCAAGTCCTGAATCTTCTGGAACATCTTAGTTACCAACTTGCCACTCTGAAACAAAAGCACTCTTATTAGTGATGCTAATTTGTAGTCAACTGTTAGGGAAGCAAAACGGCACCACAACTGTGGCCACCTCTCCTGACGGTCCCTCAGAAAACTCCCAGCATCAGACAAGATACAAAGATGGTTCTAAATATCACGCAAACACTACTGCATTCCAGGACATGGAGAGCTGAGACTGCGTCTGTTGTTGCTCAGGGTGGCACAGTGCAAGTGATCCCACTGATGATTACTTGTGAGCTTACTCCCCTGGGAACAAGGCAAACCACTGATAGCAACTAAGAAAGTGATGAGGGAAAATCACAGGCACTTTGTTCCCAGTTGCCTATACCTACCACAAGAGCATACTGAAATGAGATGCCTTGGGCATCCAGGCTTACAGGGGTTCAGAGCACCCACAACATTGTACTGGGGTAACCTCAATTCAGATTCAGAGTACATGAGCATGAAAGTTTCTTGGCAAAAAAGCGCAGTATTTGGTACTGGCTGAACATCTGGTGGGTGTCCTGTCCTGCCCAATCAGAGGTCCAGGATATGGCCTTGGAGGGTTTCTTTCCTCAATTTAGTCTACCCCCAAGTCCTCTAGCTCTGGAGTCCATCTCTGACCACAGTCAGGTACTTTGTTACGTCCTCATTTCATCTTCTTTCCAGAAGCATCTGTGTTTGGAATGTTTGGTCAAGACAGAAGACACTGTTTTCCGACTATGTCTGACAATATCAGTAATTAAAACATTTAACACTTACTTCTGAAAACCACTTAGAAAAGAGGCTGTGGCTGTTTATTTCAATCAATTGGCCATACCGGTACCTAAGATGATAAGAAAAGAGGTAAGGAAACTACAACTAATCCACTGCCTTTGACACAGCATTCCTCCATTGTCACATTCTGAAACTGACACCCCACTCTTAAGATATGCAGCTCCATATAATTATGGAGTTGTAGAAAACCTAATATGTTCCAATTAACAGGTCCAGATAAGAGTAAAACAAGTCTTCTCATATCCTCATTTGAATCAAATAGCAAAACCTCTTATTTATAACTTTTATTTCCAAAATAGCAAATAAAACAAAATAAAAGCATCAAGAAGTTTTGGCAGGATTGATACATTTTTTTCTACATCAAACCCCAAAGTGTGGTGATTCCTTTTCCTGGAAACCCAAGCCTTGGTGTACTTACAGGGTTAAAGCTCACTAATGCTGCTGATCAGAGAAAGTCTAAAATGGTAGTGCCCTCTACTCATAAATAGCACACACTCAGCCTCACTAAGCAAAGGGAGAGGAGCAAGTTCCTAAAACTACCTAAGTCTCTCCCCACCCGCCCAAACACACTTTTGAAGCACAGTCTATATAGCTCTGGCTTTCTTTTTTTAGGTAGAAAAACAGTTTATTGGGGGACAAACTGCTGGGCTGCATCTGGAATAGAGTAGCAGCCTGGGGGGAAGCAAGTGGATTTTATGATAGTCAGCAAGGTGTTTGAGCTGCTGCACGCTGTTTGGGTTACGTTGCCCCATCAGTTGTCATCAGAGGCAGAGACAGGAAGTGGCTTTCCTGACGAATAGAAACCTAAGGAAGGCTGAGTTTAGATTTCTGTTTACCCAATCAGAATCCTTCTGTTTACCCGAAATCCAGCCTGAGTTGGGCCCCAGGCTATCATCTTAGGACACTGTTATCAGCACTGCCATTTTGGGGCCTGTTTTGCAAACTAACAACAGGTAGTTGCTGCCCGATAAAGGTGCTGAGAATCAAACTCGGATCCTTCTCGAAAACAATACACACTCTTAACTACTGAGCTTTTCTCCCTAGCCCCACTGGCTAAATTCTAAACACTACATTCTTACAGCCATCTTCTATAAACCCATGTTTTTGTGTCTCAATGAAAATCTGGTGCAAGTGTTCATAGAATTATTAAACAGGCTTTATTTACTTTTATTTTCTGTGCATGAGCGTTTCACCTGCATGGATGCGTGTGTACTGAGTGGGCATAGTTCTCTGGGAGGCCAGAAGAGGGCATGGGTGCTCCAGGTCAGCACACGTGACCCACCTGGGTGCTCTACAAGTACTCTTGACCTCAGAGCCATTACTCTAGCCCCAGAGTTTTTATTCATAACTGTAAAACTAGAACTAGTTTGGTGGAAGCTGGGATACAACTCAGCTGTTAGTGTAGCTCTGGCTTTCTTAGAACTCTCTATGTAGATCAGGCTTCCCAGACTTCATAGCTCTCAGGCCACAGGTCCACAGAAGAATTTCTTATTTTTAAGGGCCAGCAGTGTTCCATTCTAAAACCAAAGCACCAATTACTTTTACTGCTTACAAAGCGCAGAGAAGGGTGAGGGTGTTAAAAACAATGTGACAAAGCAAAGAGACTGGGGCAAATATTAAATAAAATTAATTATAAATCACAATATTGGGTTAGAAAGATGGTTCAGTGATTAAGAGCACTGGCTGCTCTTCCAGAGGACCTGGATTCAATTCCCAGCATCTACATGGTAGCTCACCATGATCTGTAACTCCAGTTCCAGGGGATTCAACACCCTCACAGCCAAACATGCAGGCAAAACACCAATGCACATAAAATAAAAATAAATACATATTTTTTAAAAACCACTATATTTAACATAGCAGGAAGGAGAAATAATATTATATGTGTGTGTGTATGGCATTACTAACTCACAAGATAAATATAAATTCTCACATTTTTCTAAGTGAAAGCTAGATTTTTACATAACATTTTACCTTTCTGGTGTTCTATTAAACTTGCTTTTGGAGGCCTTTAAAGAAAAGATGCAATTTAATCTATTAGAATGGGGCCAAGTTGCTAAACTTAACTGGTCAAAATAAAGCATTCCTTGTATGTAAAAATACTAAGACATCTCTGTAAAGAAACAATACAGCTATACACCAGTGTATCTCACAGGAATCTTACTCATACTGGACTTAGCAGAAGCCAAACTTACCCTTTTTTTAGGCAATGAATAAAAAAATATGACATTTGGTAAGGATTTTGTTGGCTAAACAGGGGAAGAAGGTAACTCCCAAATGAAAGGCTCTAAGAGCTACCCTTGGTGTCCATCCAGGCCTCTTCCAATTAAAATTCAAGGGAACCTAGGCATTGTGGAGCTGAGGAAATAAAGGCTGGTGTTTGAGGTGAGGTATCTGTAGACTTAGGCACAGAGTTCCACAGGAGAAGAGAAAATGAGGAAATAAAGCCCTGAAACCAGCATGGGGACCCTGTGTCTTTGCTGAATACCAAGGCATTTGAGCAGGGAGAGTCCACAAAGCTTGAAGGCTGTTGAAGCTCACACAGGTTAGAAGAATCCAAGCGCCTATGGCCCAAATGGAAAGAGTATTGTCTTAACCTTCCAGGATCTCCTAGCACAGCACACACCAGGACAAAGGCAAAACTACACCCAAGCCCTTTCCCCAGAACGCTGAAAACAAACCTCAGAAAGACTACACTACGTTATAAGTAGTTGAAAAGGCTTCCAGAACTAAGCCAGCAAATTTAAAAGTAAGATATAAAAATCTAGATACTTTAACCAAAATGTTTAGCATTTGTGTTAAAAAACAAAACAAAAACAAACAGCTGACAGGAAGAATTAGTTGTTTTCATCATTATGACCCAATACTTGACAAGAAGCAAATTAAGGGAGAAGGACATTGTTGTTGCTCAGAGTTCAGAGAAACACAGTCGATAATGGAAGGGGAGGCATCATGGCGGGAGTGGCTTGGCCCATAGCATCAAACAGAAGCAGAGGAAATGGAATACTATGAATCAGTTTTTTTTTTTTTCTTTTCCCTTTCTATTCAGATTAGGACACTAGCCTAATGGCGTCACCCACATGTAGAGTAGGCTTTCCTTTCTTTGTTAAAATTTTTTGAAAACTCTCTCAAAGATAGACTGACAGTTATACTTTCTAGATGATTCCAAATCAATTCAGAGTGATAATAAAACAACACACATACCAAGAAGGAGAAACATGTGGCTCATAACTAGAAGAAAAGACAGTCAATAGAAATAACAATGCAATTGATACGAATATATGAAAAACATATGAAAAAAAGAACACAAAAAAGAATCAAAAGAAACCTTCAGAGAAAGAAAATACTATGAAGAAAAAAAGAACTAATGACTAGGTGTAAAAGCAGACCAGACACTACCAAAAAAATGCATGATCTTAAGGATGTAGCAAGAGAAACTGTTTAAAGTTAAGTGCAGCTATTTTTTTTAAAAGCTGAAAAAAGGAGAAATGGAGAGATGGTTCAGAGGTTAAGAGCACTGACTGCTTTTCTAGAGACCTGGGTCTTATTCCCAGGACCATATGGCTGGGTTTCAGAACTATCTGAAACTCCAGTTCCTTGGGAACACCCTCTTTTGGCTTCTCTGGTACCAAGCACACATGTGGTACACAGACATACACGCAGGCAAAATACCCATTCACATTAAAATAAAATAAATTAAAAAAAATTACTAAAAAGCTGAAATAAAAGGGCCAAGTATATGGGTGGTCTGTCTAACAACACTCAGCAAGCAGTCTAACATGCTGAAAAAACAGATTCCCAAGTAATGAGTTATCATCAATCAGTCTTCAAATTGAGGAAAACTGAGACCACAAACAGACAGAACTCAAGAACAGGTAAGTCCACAGGGACATCAATACTCTTTCCTTAGTAAATGGTGAAAGCACACAGAAAACCTGCTCAGTGTCTAGACCTGCCGCCCACGAGCAGAAACACCTTCCTTCCAGTACCATGTATGGCGCAGTGCCAGGCTGCCACCACCAGCCTCAGCATACTTTATGAGACTGAATCAAACTTGAGGCCATGCTGGGTATAGAGGAATCAGTTGACCTACACCCAAGGAGAAAGACCCAAGAATCATGACTGAAAATACAACAGTTTCAAATGTCACAAGTCCTGTGCCTGCTACTCTCCTTTTTGCTGTCACCAAAGTTACCTGCTTGACAGTCTGATGGTCAGTTTCTGGGCTAATGCCTTACAAAGGGATGTTTTTCCAGTTCCTGGAGGACCTGTAATAAAAGCCAAGGAAATACATTCAAGCAGGTGCTATATTACTTCTAAACACAGTTAAGTGCTATTACTGTTATCACTACAAGTATTAATTGTTAAGTTGTAGCTTAAAAGCTCTAGAGTCTCAGTATATAGCCATGACTGGCCTTCACCAATGTGGACTCTCCCATTTCTGGTCTACCAGCTGACATACTGCTCCTGACTCTTCTCTAGGCATACTGAATATACACCACACTTCTTGGTCCACATCTTGGTGATAGCAGCCCTTGTTTCCACATTTCCTCTATGAAGTCCACACTCATCACGGTACTTTTCAAAGGCCAAATACACTTTCTTGGTAAACAAAGACATAGAGTGCTAGCTCGTTAGGACCACTCCTGCAGTGGCATCTTTCACTGTAGGTACCTCAACGTGGCCCGCACCCTCATTAGACCACAACAGTAGTATTAGTTTAGACCTGGAATGTCATTTACACCCATTTGTTAAAGGTATGGTCCCCAGGGTGGTGCTATGGGGTGGCTGCAGAAAATGAGAGAAGTGAGGTTTTAGGTCATTGGAAATATGCACCTGAAAAGGATAGAGGGACCTTGGTCTCTTCCTTTTTCATTCTTGGCTATGACGTGATGGCTGTTTTCCCATGTGTTCCCCCTTGATGTGTCCACCATAGACCCAAAGCAGTGAATTTATCATGGATTGAACCTCTAAAACTGTAAACCAAAATACATTTTTTTTTTCTTCTTTGAGACAAGGTCTTACTATGTAGCCCTGGCTGGCCTCAAACTCTGAGATCTGCCTGCTTCTATCCTCTTAGGGCTGAGACTAAAGTCTACTATAGCATACCCAGTGTTTTGTTTTGTTTTGTCTCTTTTTTTAAGATTTATTTATATTTTATGTGTTTAAGAGTTTTGTTTTTACCTGCATGTAAGTGCACTATGTACACACAGTGCCTTCAGAAGACAGAAGAGGGTACCCAGATCCCTAGGAACTAGAGATATGGATATTTGTGAATTGCCCTGTGGATGCTGGGACCTGAATCCCAGCCCTCTGCAAGAGCAAGTTTTCTGAGCCATCTCTCCAGCCTCTTAAGCGATACTTTTTAACAGATCTTGGGCACTCCAGCAATCATAATTGGCAGAAAGAGGCTAATTGTCCCAAACAACTCCTTTGCTACAATGTAGGTACTATCTTTATTTTGCTCCATCTCTATGAAGTAATGGGGGTGGACTGGGTACAAATTAACAATTTCCTTCTAAAAAGTACCTGACAGAATTTCTTTAAACAACATGGCTTCTGTAGTCCACTCTCATGAAGTGAAGCAGAGACTATTATAAAGAAAAAAAGAAAAAAAAGAAAAGAAACTTGTTCTATCCTAAGCAAATATGTTCAGTTAGGAATATGGGTAATCATTTAAAACAAAACAAAACAAAAACTTAGAAGGAAGTAAACAAATTGACCCCAAGAGAAAAGTAAGCTAACAGATCTACCAGACTTTAGTGAACTGTATCAGCTTCCAGATAGAGAATTTCCAGTAGCAATTCTGACTCTTTCAGAAAATAACGAGCTATCACATTGTAAAAGGGACATAAATTGTTAAAAATCAATTTCAGGCCATTCACTTTGTCACATGAAAACCCGTCCACCTCACCGTGCAACAGCACCACCCGGTTCCAAGTGATAAGGTTGCTGTCCACATTCTTGTCTGAGAAGAGTAAGGTGGTCATCACATAATCAAGGAGCTAATATGGAAAAGCAGAAAGGCAGATAAAGCACCTGTAAGACAAAGGTTCCCAAAGCCTGCTGTGGAGGCCTGCTTCTGAAGGAGAAAGGGGCAAGAACAGTCTTGAAAGGACTATCACCTCCTGACACTCAGATACTCTCTCCCATCAGTTGCTATCATTCTAAAAGGCATCTTTAAAAGGTGATAAGGTAAAATACTTGTTGGTACCATTCAAGAGAAAAAAAGTCATTACTTTTACTTAGAATGAAAACATCTAATAAGATGCCCAAGGTACTTATCAGATAGAAAACTCCCTCCTTGGACACAGCAGAGCAGGTAGTGGGGAATGCACATAGCACATCTGGCAGGGCCTGAGGAAGTGCCTTGCAGACTCTAAGTGAAGGTTTCCTAGTTTGTCCCCAAAAGAGCTCACAGGAAGAATGTAATCCAAAATAAATTTCCATCCTCTTCTAGTCTCTGACCATTTCCTATCTAAAGGATCAGTTGGGGAACTGCTGATGGACTGGCATTCAGGATGTGGGCCACTGGTAGGGTTTCTAAAAGCATACTTGAAGCTAGGGACATGGAGAGGCTGGAGAGCAAGACAATATCTACATTCTGAAAAAAGTATAGCAACTTACATGTGATTTGACCTCCACATCATACACGAGGCTATCCCAAAGCCCGTGAAATTCAGCTGTCAAAGAGAATAAGACAAAACCTCAATTTTAGGAAGACTTTGGGCCCAATGCTTTCCATTGCTTCCAAAGGATCAAGACTGATACAGCAAGTGCACAGTGTGGAGTTGTTTTATTTTTTTTTCCAAAGTTCAACTTCTCTTAAAAGTAAACATCCAAAATAAATGCCAGGCATATAATTTTGAAAGATAAATGGAGTAAAAGGATTATTCTTACCAAGTCTGGCAGCTCAAGCCTATTAATCCCAGTGACTTGAGAGGCTAAGGGAGGAGAATCACAAGTTTAAGCCCTGCTAGGGTTAAGAGTGAGTTCAAGTCCAGCCTGAGTGAAATTCTATCTCAAACAAACAAACAACAAAGAGGATTTATCATGGAGCTCAGAGACAGACTACACATCTATTTTATGTGAGGCCTTGCATTTAATCTCCAATATAAGAGAGAAAGTGAATTACTCTTTCATGTTTTGGGGACTAATGCTTTTAGAAATGAATTCTCCCCACTCTATTGGCTGGCTTTCACAGTGCTAAAAGGTTCTAAGCATGTGATTGCAAGAGATAAGTAATCAACAGTCTTACACAGCTATAAGCCCTGGAAACTTCAATAATGACTGGCCTGGCAATGTATGCCCACTGGTGCATTAATGGACTAAACATTACAGGAGTAATCAACCACTTTCTGATTGGCTTTAAAGCTCAAATCACAGGATGCAACTCAACCCTGGTATCATTAACTGGACTAAAACTCCATGGCTCAGCGCTCATCAAGGAAGGGAAAAACATTTGAAGAGCTAGAATTAGTGGATGTTGCAGCATAACAGTATTTGTTGGATATGGCTCATGAAATTCCACCCCTGTCTCTGAACTACTGGCAAACTGATGGCTGCTAGGGGAAGGAGATTCAGTTTTCTTCAGGACTGCAAGTCCAGCAGATACAGCACAAAGAGGATCCAATGGGGGGGGGGGGGAGAGTACATGATGTTAGGAGGCAAAAATGATGGTGAGGACAGGGGAAGAATAGAGGGAAGGGAATGGGAGTTGATTTGATAAAAAACCACTCTAGACATGTAAGAAATATCCAAGCACTAAAAGTTTTTCAGAAAAAAAATTTCATTATTTTGTTATTTCTGTTATATTCTTTTAGTTTCTCAGGGCTTATTATTATTATTATTATTTTCACCAGTTCCCTGTTTCTAGAAGAAAAGGCCCAGGCTACTGGTCTATTTATTTTGAATACAAGCCTATAAATTTCCTTTTTGGGCCAGGTATGGTGGCACACATTTTTGATCCCAGAACTCAGAGAGGCAGAGGCAGGCGGATCACTGTGAGTCTGAGGCCAGCCTGGTCTACAAAGCAAGTTCAGGACAGTCAAGGCTACACAGAGAAACCCTGTCTCGAAAACAAAACAAAATCTTTTTGGGGCTAATCTATTTCCATAAATATTGGTACACTATATTTTTGTTTTCACTGAGTGATGCAATTTATATTTCATCTTAGACTTGCCTTTTAAGCTATGTATGATATAAAGTGTGTTTTAAACAAAACAAAAAACAAATGAGCTCTCCTTACACAGTAAGAAACATAAAACTAGGGACTAAATTAATAATCCCTGGAGATCACCTGTTGGAACTCAGTAGCAAAGTCCCCAGAGAAGCTATAGCAGGCAAGGACTGCCCACTAGGGGAGACCAGTTAGGCAGGGATAAGGAATGCATGTGACATCCTTAGTCAGATACAATCTCTGAGGTACTTGTCTAAAGGAACAGTCTCAGCCCAGAAATGTGTTCCTTCCTTTGCAGTCACCATCAATCAAGTCTGTAGTATTCCCTAAAGGCCCATGTGCTAAAGGCTTGATCATCAGCACAATACTCCTGGGAGGTAGAACTTTAAAAGACAGGGCCTAGGAGGAGGTTTAAATGATGTCATCCTTAAAGAAGAGAGTGGGACACAGGTCTCTTGCTCTCTCCCCAGCATCTGGCCATGAAAAGAATAGGCTTTCTCTGACACCCTTCCCTCCCCTAATATTGTGCTTTGCCTTGCTAAAGGCACAAAGCAATGGAGCCACTCTTTCATGAACTAAAACTGTAAGCCAAAACAAACCCTTCTTATAGGCTAACTGTCCTAAGGATTTATTATAATGGAAAGCTAACACAGAGATATCCTTTTCGTTTATTTCATAAGGGATAAAGCATTCTAAAATCTTACAAAACCAAAGAAACAAATCTTCTCATTAAGTGACTTGACATATCCCAGGTGTCTTAATCTTCTGACTGGGGCCTCCCTCCACCACTACCCATCCATCAGGAACAGGTACCTGCAGGCAGAACCCAGTGACTTGCCGCAATTATATTTTCTGTTTCTTCATCCAAATTTTCACTGCTGGGTCCATCTTCATTCAACTGGAAGATGTGAAGTGCAATGGTGCATGTACTCAAATCAATGGGCTGTTGATGAGGGGAAAAAAACATCTTTGCAACCCAGAAAACACCTTCTTTACTTCTATGATATATGCTGAAGTTCAAAGTAAAGACCAAAAAAATACTATTGTTAAAACTAGTTCTCAGATTAGATTAAAAGTCTAGCATTTCACTTCTGATCTAGAATTAGCTCTTAAGGGATTTATCAATTTCTCTCCTGTAGGCTGTGACACTCCCTGATGACACCCTAAACAGGGTTTCACTACGTAGGGCTGACTGCCTGGAACTCCTTATGTATACCAGGCTGGCCTCAAATTCAGAGATGGAACTGCTTCTGCCTCACAAGCACTGGGATTAATGAGATGTGCTCCATCATTTCCAGCACACCTAAGTTTTAAGTGATTTTTTTTTTTTTGCACTATTATAAAGTTAACAGATGAGGGAAATGCCAACTATAAAGAAGAAAGTCCCCTACAACCAAACTCAGAAGTAGTACAGTCACCCATATGGGCCTGAGCAGAAATGGCTTTCCACGCATCCATAGTTTCCTTTCTATTTCTTTTTCCAGTAGGTCATCTTTATGTCTGACCTTTATTTAGAATGGCCAAATCCTCTATAAATCAGAGCAGAGTCTCAGTTTCAAAATTAGAAATAAAGTGCAATCTCACCATGACATCATGTCAAGGCAAGGATACACACATTGTGATTGACAACTTCAGCCTTCACCAAGGTAATGCTGTCAAGTATGGCCTGAGAGACTAGTATCATCCCTTTTCTAGTTTACCAGTTCAGTGTTACCTACTTCAAAGTGGGATACTAAAGAAGTTATCAGTGGAGGACTTGGGTGGGTGGGAGGGATTAAATGCTGTATCTTGAAGGAAACCTACAAATCTAATGTACAAGTATCTTACAAAAAGTATTTCCCTCACTTGCTCATTTATTATTCACTGTTACTGTCAGTGTCCTAGATTTGGACACTGGAGAAAATTCAGATTGGCCCTTGTTTTCATGTGATACATCCCTGTCTTTTTGCTTAATGTTCTGTCACTACAAGCCAACTCAGTCTAATTTTGTAATTTGCCTTCCTAAATCTGGATTTAACTATGTAGCAAAGAAACCTAAGTATTTATAGCTGGATAGTATCAGGGTATCAGGGCATTATCAATGGGAAGCTCAGCTTCCACCCCTCACTCTACCAACAAGACAGTCACTATGAGAAGGACTCAGCAGGTCCATGAAGACCTGGATGTCCACCTCATCAAACAGCAGCAAAGTGTTGGAATGGCCTACCTTTTCTTTCCCTCTATAGAAAATGGCCCAATGGGGGCTTGATCTTACACTTCATTTAGAGGTAAATAGGCTATGCCAATCTGTGCCCCTTTTGTAGGATAAAGGCCATGGCGCTATGATGAAAGAGATCTGCATTTTTACATTAGACCTTTACATTACAATGTGAGCCAGTGCCTTACTTTATCATGTCACACCAATAACCAGGAAAATAAATTAGGAAAGTCAACCAACAGTTGAAAAAACATGGACACTGAGGTGAATGATATGCTATGTGAAAGTTGATGGCTACAGTAGTCTTATAAGATGGGTAAGTTGTAAAACTGTTTTTATCATAGTTTTCAAGGTTATCTGTACTTTTTTATTATTAGCCTAATTTATTCCCTAAATCCCTAGGGCTAGTTAGTAATTCATTAAACTGGCAATTTCTTATTTAAATGATCATGTTGTATTTTCCTTCTGAAAGTAATAGATTGTCTTCGTGTACTGACATATTTTTTTGCCAACACAAAGTTCCCAATTTCCCGTAACTGTAATCAAAAGATAGTGGGCAAGTCAGTCTGTATACAAGATGAGATGAAGAACGTCCATAAAGCAGGCCCATCTTAGCCAAGTGGTAGTGACACACACCTTTAATCCCAGCACTCAGGGAGGCAGGGCAGGTCAATCTCTGTGAGTTCGAGGCCAGCCTTGTCTATAGAGTGAGTAGCATGATAGTCAAGGCTACACAGAGAAAACCTGTCTACACAGAGAAACAAAAAACCAAAAAAAGAAAAAAAAAGGAAGGAAGAAAGAAAAAACAAACAAACAAACAAACCAGAATCATCTCATTTCTGTAACTTCCACATAACCTACTGTCCTAACATACTCCCAAGCACATACCTGTTCATCGACAGAGTGGGATACAGGTACTCAGACACGGCCCATTATTCTATAGCTCTGTTTTCCAACTGTCAGATTCCCATTCCTGTTCCCGGCTCTGTCAAGACCATCCTGACACACAGTATCCTTACTCTAGCACGTAGCTCCAGTACACATAGCTAAAGCTTGGCTAGCTACCCAAACCAACAGATAGGCAAGTACCTGCTATCAAGATCAATATTAGTTATTTATGACAATTGCTTCATATTCCCTAAAGGCTCCACTGTAACCTAGGAATTTACCTGAGGGTCTTTAAGCTTTAATTCTGTGTCAACAATAGACACTGACTGAACATTTCTTGCCAGAAAAGGCTCATCAAACTCAGTCCACGTGTAATCTCCAAACACAACATTATGCCTGTTGAGCAGCTTGTAAACACTCAGCTTTATGTCTTCTTTTTTTGCAGTGCTAGAAAGATAGATAAAACATACACAAGTTTTATTTATGTATAAGAAAATTGTTAAGAAAACTTAGGTATGTTGGGGCGCAATTCTAGCATGCAGGAAGCTGAGAAAGGAGAACTTGTTTCAAAGAGACACACACACATATCCCTCAGCCCTTACACGTACATAAGAAAGTCAGTCAAGATGACGCTGTCAAGTGGACTGTCTAGAGATCAACTGCAGTCATACCATCAGCCTCCCTCAGCGCATTATAAAAAGGGGCCACTAGTTCTCGACAAGCTCCTATTAAGATTAATCAACATTCAGTGTTCGGGACAAGCCTAAAACATAACAAGCATTCAATCTATGTTAGCAGCCCTGTTAAAAAAGGGCTGAAAGTGCACAGCTGTAGGGTCTGACCTGGAGAAGCACATCTTGATAACAGGAAATCCACTACCAGATTCAGGCTTAGCAAACTAAATACTTATTCACCTTGTTCCACTGACACTCTATTTTCTCGAATGCCTGACTGGAGATCACCTCTATCCCTCGGCAGGTGCAGTCCTACTACGTGGAGTTCATCATGTCATTGTTAGACCGTGCTCCACAGGCTTGTCACTTGAGAGCTGTGGGGTCCTGCCAGATCGCGTGGGATGGTGGTAGGGTCTGGATGGGATATGCAGTGTTGTTGGGGGGGGGGGGGGGAGGGGGGGGGGGGGGTGTGGAGGGGGGGTGGGGGGGGGGGTGCAATTCAGAGTGGTGTGTGGTGGGATGGAGTCTCGTGTAGGGTAAAGTACGGTCACGACGTTCCGTTCGGGTCAACTGCGGTGAGGTGGAGTCGAGTCTGGTCATACCGGGTGGGTTAATGTCAGGAGGCTCGGGTCATGCGAAGTGGGGCCGTGCTGAGGGGTGAGACGCCGTGGGGTGGGATCCTGAGAGGCAGGGTAGGTAGTGCCGTTCGGAGTCACGCGTGGTAGGGTCGGGCCTGGTCTCGCCCCGCGTGGTCGGACTCCACATAGCTCACCTTTCGCTGCGCTGCAGAACCTCCACATGGACCGCGGGTGACTCGACAACGCAGGGAAGCGCTTGTTTCAGGTCGCCCACAGCCTGGTCCATGGCGCCGCCGCCGGGAGCCAAGGGAACGCGGCCGGAGTGAGGCCGCGGTCGTCGCCCCGCGCCCCGCCGAGCAGCCTCTTTCGCAGTGGGAGGATCCACTTCGGCGGAGTCCCGCTCTGACCCACTTCCGCCGCTCGTGCCGCGCCCCGCCAAGCTTCGAATCTGCCGCGCGCCGCGCACCGCCCCCTGACACCGGAAGCACTCGACTGTGGCTGGGCGGCCACTTCCGACTGGCGCAGGTCTGGCTACCGACGGCCGCTTCACTCCGGATCCGCTGCCATCGCAGCCATGGGCAAGAAGCACAAGAAGCATAAGGCGGAGTGGCGCTCCTCGTACGAAGGTGCAGAGCCCGCGGGCGGGGTCTAGGCTGCCGGTACTGGCGGGGGAAGGCCTTCCAGGGGAAGGGCGTGGTCAGCGCTGGGCGGGGTTGTGGAGGAGGTGCCTGAGGCGGGCAGGTCCCGTGAGAGGGAGGGGCTTAAAGCCAGGCCGCAGGCCGTCGTGGGAGGAGGCGGGGTTAGGCTCTGGATCACTGGAAGAGCCCTTCAGCTTCTTGGGTCCCGTAGCTCCTGTGTACCTCCTGTCTGGCACCAGGAAGACTGTAGCAAAAAGAGGGGCTTCCACAAAGGAGTTGGGTTTTGGCTCTCAGGTCGGGTTGATGTACTTTCTCCTGGTAGGAAGGACCCTCTGAAAATCCTCAGTGATAATTATATGGTTTGAAAGAGAGCACTGAACACAGCCCTGTTAGTTTGAGATTCCATCTTTTCCCGTGGTTTTGACAACCCCTTGCCATCTAGCTTCATTAAGATCAGACTCTCACACTTGTGACACCCATGGGGGTGCAGTAGTCCCACCAAGCATTTTGCAAGTTTGACCCACAGTCTGTGTGCAGATTACACAGACACACCACTGGAGAAGCCTCTGAAGTTGGTGCTCAAGGTGGGAGGAAGTGAAGTGACAGAGCTCTCAGGATCTGGCCACGACTCCAGCTACTATGATGATAGGTCAGACCATGAGCGGGAGAGACACAGAGAAAAGAAGAAGAAAAAGAAGAAGAAGTCAGAGAAGGAGAAGCACCTCGATGAAGAGGAGAGGAGGAAGCGAAAGGTAAACGTGCAGCGGCCCAAGATGGGGCCCTAATCATCCTGGCCATACCTGGACCAATGCTGCAGTCCTGGGTTTCCAGGGAGTCATCGGGTGATGCCTGCCAAGTGTGGGTCTGGGGAAGGCAGAGCTGTGCAGGGCCTGCAGCACCAATCTAAACGAGCTGTGGCTGTTCTGTGCCCTCTGTTCTTTGATAACCAATAGGAAGAAAAGAAACGGAAGCGGGAGAAGGAACACTGCGACTCAGAGGGAGAGGCTGATGCCTTCGACCCTGGAAAGAAGGTAGAGGTGGAACCACCCCCAGATCGACCAGTGAGAGCCTGCCGAACACAGCCAGGCAAGACCTTGTTCCTGGGCATGTTTCCTACATTGTCTATAGCATGGTCATTCAGTTGTTGGGGTGTCTTTCAAGCTAAGAATAGGTAAATTCTCTTGAAGAGTGGTAAAACAGAAACAGATGCCATAGAGAACGGCTGTCCCACAAAATCGACACTATTTTTATTTGGTTGGTTGGGTTTTGTTTTTGTTTTGTTTTCCCTCAAGACAGGGTTTCTCTGTATAGCCCTGGTTGTCCTGGAACTCAATCTGTAGACCAGGCTAGCTTTGAACTCAAAGATCTACACCTGCCTATGCCACCTAACAGCTGGAATTAAAGGCGTGCACCACTACTCCCAGTTTACCTACAGTATTTTTTATCTGGTTGAACTTTACCAATTTTTAGTCTGGAAGTTTGGCTTCATTTGCTTTACTATTCCAAACAGAACCATCAGGTTAGTGGCCCTATATATGAGTCACATAAAAAACACACATATCATGGAAACATGGAAACTTGGGACGGAGAGACCCTGACATAGGCTCTCATGTTCAGTGTGGAGTTATTTAAAATTACCTCAAGATGGCATGTAGGAAGCTAGAGGTTTTTGTTAAATTTCTCACCTAGGTAACCCTTACCAGGGATGACATTTCAGGTATAGTCTCATTCTTGGCTCTTGGATTCTTTGGTTACAAGCCTCCCTGTATAGGACTATAGACTACATGCAAAGAAACTGAGGAGGCTGGTGTTGGGACATGGATTATCAGAAAAGCTAGTATTAAAATCAGTTGCCATGTGATTGTGATGGCTTACAAAAGAAGTGTTCATGCCGCCTCAATCTCTATGGTGATGTTTTTCTCTTTAAAATTTCCTCCTTTGACTGTGGATTTGATCACCCCTGTTTTAGCAGGGCCCCTTGAGCTATCTATTGTAGTCCTTCTGTGAAAGGGTCCTGTTTGCTAGTGCTCCTCCTCCTGTGCAGCTCACTGTCACAGTAGCTCTCCAGGAAACAACAGCCAGGGACTGTCTTCAAACGGGCAGACCTCACTGAACCTAACTGACAGAGTGTAGTCATTGTGGCCTTCAGAGGGATGGAAGAGGTTAGCGTTGCTTTGGGCATTCCCCAGACAGTCAGGAACTTTGCTATCAGACTGATGTGAGCTCAGAGACTCAGTTGATACCCACAGTGCTCATGAGATCTGTGCATGTGTATTACATGTCTCTCCTGCTTAGCAGATAAGAGCCCAGGTACAGATAAACGGTGAGAAGTCTCAAGTAAAGTGCTGACTAGGGAGTTCAGGATCAACGTACCCCACACCTTTGTCTCTTCCTATCTTGTAGACTGGATTGCGGTGAGAACTGGAAACAGTCTGATCCATCTTGAGACATGCTGTGTATCTCTTTGCAGCCTTTGGATGCTGCCTTTGTTGAGGGAGCTGTGCCCAATTCTTGTTTGGGCTTCAGATACTGTGAAGTTCCACAAGCAGATGCACATGGAACTTTCTAATGAAGCAAATGAAGTCGTGATGTCTGATTTTTATTTTCTTGCTTTCTCTTTATAAACTCAGCTGAGAATGAGAGCACACCCATCCAGAGGCTTCTGGAGCATTTCCTCCGCCAACTACAGAGGTAACCCTGTGTCCCACCTGTTACCTGGCACCTATGAGACAGACACCCCAGCTTCTCTAGAGGCTCTAAATCCCATGGTCCACCTCCTGTCCCACACAGGATACCACCATTTTCTCCCTGTCTTGAAACAGTTTGAGCCTTGACTCCCACCCAATGCCACCCACAGATGGACACTTCCCCTTCTCTAGGCATTCCCAGTTGAGCAGGATGTGGGCAAGCTGGGTGCTTGTGTGCTGCATTCCTCTCTCTTCCTCATCTGAAGGTAGTGTTGTGCTACTGCTTGCAGAGCATTGCCTATCAGGAAGAGCTGGGACAGTGCTGCTTTTATTGCATGTAAAATATGTGTTAGAGCCTTAAAAAGGCATACATGTTTTTCCCTGAACTTTTAAGAAGCAAGTTTAATTTTAGTCAGTAATATAAATTTTTGGATTATAAAAATTTGTATCACTTAGAAATTTAGGCTTTTTGAGTTTTTCACTTCAAAGCTATCTTTGCTTTCAGAAAAGATCCTCATGGATTTTTTGCTTTTCCTGTTACGGATGCAATTGCTCCTGGGTATTCAATGATAATAAAACATCCCATGGACTTTGGCACAATGAAAGACAAGATTGTAGCTAATGAATATAAATCAGTCACAGAATTTAAGGTAAATGAGTTTCACTTTGCAAAATAATGTTTATAAAACTGTATGTATGCATGGTCACATAGTAAATACTGTACACAAGTCATTTTTATTTGTTTTTTTATCTCTTCTAGATGTATTTTATTTTATATGTATTAATGTTTCATCTATTTACCTCTATCTATCTATCTATCTATCTATCTATCTATCTATCTATCTATCTATCTAT